CGTTGATAATAGCGTGGTGTGATAGACAACAGTGCTTTAATAGCTGTAGTTGAGGCTTGAGTGAAAAAAGGTCTCATACAGACTTCCACAACAGCTGGCTTCTACTTTATTTTACTTTCTCCTTTTAATTCAGAAGTCATTTTCACACACCACTGCACCCTGATCTTTTCTAGACATTCCCAACAAATGTGGGCCTGTGAGGATGCAAATACTGGGACATTAATGGGCCTTTTTTAAACAACTTTTATGTGTAAACTCCATATAACAGCATGAGAATATGTCAGGTAGCTGTTCACTTTATCCAGGTAAAACCCTAAACCAATCAGAGTATTTCCAGTAGTCAGATCACACCTAAGGTAAACAATCTCCTTGTATCTGCTACATATTAAGGGACACTTTGGACAATATTGCAACTTAATTCTTCAGTCACTTTCTGGAGTATCTGTGCAAAAACAGCTAAAGACATATAGCAGGTACATTTTCTTACAGGGGTACGGTGAAACTGGTTACACTTACATTCAATCATTTGACCCACGTATTTACTTTTAGGTTGGTGGCTTCGATGGAAACAACCGTCTGCGCACCGCTGAGGCTTACAACCCACATTCCAATACGTGGAACCTCGTGTCCTCTATGCTGACCCCCCGCAGCAACTTTGGCATTGAGGTAATTGACGATCGCCTCTTTGTCGTCGGGGGTTTCAACGGCTTCACCACCACTTCGAACGTTGAGTACTACGACACTTTAACCAATGAGTGGTATGAGGCGTGCGACATGGAGATTTTCCGCAGCGCCTTGAGCTGCTGTGTGGTGTCCGGACTTTGCAACATGACTGAGTACACCTTTCCTCGTGACTTCCTGCCACTTGCCAATGTGCCAGAAGAAGCAATGGAGTCAGCAGAGTCCACATAACATCTTTAAAGTGCTGTACTGCCATGTGTTAACATCTGAGACTCCAACATGAAGGACTGAAATAAATCTTTAGAGCATTAAACTGCTGGTGAACTGGACATTTTTTGTAGGTATCTCAAAAACCTCCAGTAGGAGAGCCTGCACTGTAGATACTGGGTTTTATTAAGAGAATGCAATTGCAACAATAACAAATTGAAAAGATTTTTTCATTCCCTGTAATGTATGGCTGCTGAGTAGCCATACCAGACATGCACACAGGGTGACTAGATCACAATAAGCCGCATGTCGGACTTTTCAACTCTTGCTAGGTAAACACAATAAGAATAAAGGCAAGTTTTCACTCCCCCTTGTTATTTCAGCTGCGCTTCTGTCTGGTAACAGTCTATAGGTTTGAGTAAGGATGTATCCATAGGTCTTTTTGGAGCACTAGCTGACAATTTATGAATCTTTAGCCAAATATCACACAAATATACTGTGTCGCTTCACACCATTTTTTCTCTTATGTGAAACTGAAAAATAACTCTATTTCTCAGTATATCTGTCATCTGCTTTGTGGTATTTTCCACTATATTGCACAGAATGATATATTTGTTCATGATAAAAGCACCAACTTTATATGTACTGAGGAAAATCCAGTGTTTAGAAAGGTGGATGTCCTGCAAAGCCTGTAAAATGTGGGACATTGGTTCAAGATGTGGGAGAAGGGGGAAAGCATAAAAATGCTGTGCAGTCCCCCTTATAGAGGGACATCTGATCCCCCAACCTGCACAACATGAAGGTTGAAGCAACACCAGTAACACAACACCTTATGGAGGTAAACGTGTAGACAGTGATGTGCAAAGCTGTTCATAGGAACATCCTCCATCCATGGTGGTATAATCTTTATTCTGATGCTGAATTGATTGATTTATCAATTTACTGTAAACATTTCTTACATTTTTCTTATTGCAAGCAGACAAACCTGTCCCAGGATTGTTCCTGCTGCTCCATTTTATAAACACTCTAAATCAAACTCATTCCATTATAATTTTTTTTTAATTTTAGGATGATGTTTTCATACAATCCTCTACATCTGCATCAAACCAGGCTTGTCACATACAACCTGCTATTAGTCCTGTATATTAGTTATTTTAGGACTTCCTGTGACCTCTGTGTTGATCTATGATAACATTACACGTATTGATGCATATACTTGTGATGCTTAGAGGCACTGTAAACTTTAATAAATGGTGCATTAAAGTTTATACCAAAACTGCGATGCTAGCTCACACATTGCTCATTGCAATTCCTGTATTCATAGCCATTGCTATGAAAAAGTAGAATGGGAGGGAGAGCCTTCAGTTTTCAGGCACCTCTTATCTGGAACCAGCTTCCAGTTTGGATTCAGGAGACAGACACTATCTCTACTTTTAAGATTAGAGTTAAAACTTTCCTTTTTGGTAAAGCACATAGTTAGGGCTGGATCAGGTGACCCTGAATCCTCCCTTAGTTATGCTGCAATAGGCATAGGCTGCTGGGGGACTCCCATGATGCATTGAGTTTTTCCTTTTCAGTCACCTTTTTCACACAGTATGTGTTAATAGACTTCTCTGCATTGAATCATATCTGTTATTAACCTCTGTCTCTCTTCCACAGCATGTCTTTTATCCTGTCTTCCTTCTCTCACCCCAACCGGTCATAGCAGATGGCCCCGCCCCTCCCTGAGTATGGTTCTGCCAGAGGTTTTCTTCCTGTTAAAAGGGAGTTTTTCCTTCCCACTGTCGCCAAAGTGCTTGCTCATAGGGGGTCATATGATTGTTGGGTTTTTCTCTGTATCTATTATTGTAGGGTCTACCTTACAATATAAAGCGCCTTGAGGTGACTGTTGTTGTGATTTGGCGCTATATAAATAAAATTGAATTGAATTGCTCATCTTCCTCCAGATCTACACACTTCAATCACAAGAACTTACTATTTTTGCCCTTATGGTTCTCCGTCTGCACTTAAAGCCCCGACAGAGCCGTGGAAAAGGGTGCTTTATTCCCTCTGACATTTCCATCCATCCATCTGTCCATTTCCTTTGGCAGTGAGACTTTTTGTGATTAAATAAATCTTGAGATAATTGAAACTAGAGAGACTGAGAAACAGAAAAATGCAAACGTGCTCAAGAAAAAAAAAGTCAGGCAGCGATTCAGTCTCAGTAGAAGTCGATGCTTTTACATGACTTTCTGGCTGATGTCAAGGACTGGATGTTCCACAATCTCCTCCAACTAAATTTGGACAAAACTGGGATTATTCAGGGGGAAGAAAAGCTTGAATGACTTCAGTCCGTCCTCTGTTTTGCCGCATGCACTCCCCTCTCTCTGCCTCTCCCTTTCTCTCTCTCTTAATCTCTCTCTTCTTCTCTTTCCCTCCTCTGCACTTTCTCTCTTTTTGTCTTCTTCTTTATCTCACAGACAAAGCACTGGTTGCTCGTTTTTGGTCAGAGTCACCTTGAGGCAAACAGAGCTTTGTGTGCATTCGAGTGCATCTGCATAGGAATTTATATATATACACTGTGTGTACATAAAGGTCACGTCCAATTATTCATAAATACTGATACATAGAGTGATACATTTTAGGCTGGGAGAGGGGTGTATCGTTGTTCCTTTTCATACACTTAGACCATGAAATGACTGAAATGAAGGTGTAGTGAGTTGTTTCAGTGCAGAACATTATTTGTTAAAGTTTTACTTTTTGGTTGCTGTTGTTTAGTGACTGATTTTCACACTCTGTGAGTTTATTCATGAGCGAAGCACTTGTACTGTACACTGAGCCCTACATCGGCTCCATGCTGCATTTATCACTGAAAACATCTCAACACTTAAGGCCACAGCAAGGGGATGCAGTGGAGATGTCTTTGTGGTCTGACCATGACTTAGGAGTATCCACACTGATGGGCTTCACAGTCAAATCCCAACCACAGATACTGGAAGAATACCTTAAGAGTTGGGTTATATTATGTGCTGTCATTTTCTATGTTAGTGCTGTGGTCATATTGGGAATAAGTGAAGATTAGGGTATGTTAGGAGTAAAGCTACTACTATAGACTTTGGTTAATAACAGGCAAACATTAAAGCTAAACTCCTAAGTATGTTCCAGTCCATGTTGTGAGGTGTTAGAAACCTGCGAAGAGGAGCTTGCCTGTTTTTTCAGATCAGTATGGAGGGCAAAAAATGCAGGAAGTGCAATAGTGTGCAAAAGTTTTTTCAGCCACATCTCATTTATTTATATCCTGCTTATAAAATAAGAAATAGGAGCAGCAAACATACAATTTTATCTCTACAAACATACATGGAAAAACAGAGGCTTTACAATTCTAATTAGATTGAAGGTCAATATTTGTTAGTCTATAGCAGGCCGTGGACCGCCATCGTGGGTGATAAACTACCAGTCTGTGACCTATACTGTGACCTACACTGGTGACCTGTGCAGGGTGTACCCTGCCTCTCGCCTGTGAGGGCTTGCATCAGCTCCAGTCAAAGCACAACCCTGCATTGGATAAACACAAGAAAATACATGAATGCATCTTTCCTTCAAGATCCAATGCCACTGGCTGATATGCAGCTTCAAACTATGAAAGAGCCTCAACTGTGTTTTACAGATGACTGCAGGCACTCCCTGTTGTTTCCATTTCTCTTCCTTAAGAATGGCTTCTTTGCAGCCCTTCTACTGACACGATTTCTGATGAGGCATCAGCAGAAATTCTTTGTTTGTGCAACTGACTGTTATTAACAACATTTCTAAAGAAACTGTTCAAAATGGGCTGCTTGCTAAGCTATCTGTTGTTCATCGTCACAAAACTGGTTCATCCCTTTACATGCCACAATGTTGAGTGGCTTAACAAACAAACAGCAAAAAAACAAACAGCCTCAACTGACTGAAAATGAAAAAGCAGACAAAAACTGGAAAAACTGTATTGCATAAAGAAATCAGGGTGGCTCCAGACTTTTGCACAGGAATGGTGCAAGCAGAGGACTTTCATCTGGGAGAGCAAGGTCTGACTGTGCTGATTTATCTTTAGCCTGTGTGACGTAAATGCGTATGCTTCTGCTCTCCTGTTAGCAGGGACTCAGAACAGAGAGGAAGGAGTGCTAAAATGCTGTATTTTAATCTATTTTACTTTGTTTTATTCATGTTTTTATTTGCTTCGCTGTCTTCTTTCAGGTCTGGGACACAAGTTAAAGTCCAAGTTGTGTGTGCTTAAAGAAGACTGACTCTTCAAAAATTTCCATCACTCTGGATTGATTTACTCAACTACTGCATGTAATAGTACTTAAAACTGATGTGGGCCAACACAGTGGTCAGCAACTTCCCCAATTAGTGTAACATATAGTGAAGTAACTTTAATGAGCTTCTTGGACTTAATGAGAACAACATTTCATAAAACACATTGCTTGGGAAATTAACTACTTCATCATGTACCACTGTAGTGACAACAGGGGGAAATAGCTGATTATGTAAATTAGGTTCTCAACATTAAACTTGCCCATGTGCCTCAGGCTTCACAGAGAGGGCCTGCTACTTTGAGGCCATGGTGTTAGCTTCACTTTTAACCTCTCTCCATGAAGCTCTCGCCGCTTCCTCCATTAGCACCGGATGCCGGCACTGGATATAAATTGCGCAGCGTAAAATCACCCAGTATGAACACAGTTGCTGGGAACAGTGCCAAATTTTTTTTACAGTATTCACATGTGATCTAGCATCTACAGTTTGCAATAACTGTCTAAAAAGGCTCGTATGCATGCACGTGCCCATACACGATGTAACGAAAGACTTGCGCAAGTACATACTGACGATCCAAACCACCCAAACACACACTAACATGGATACACACACACACACATACACACACACGTTGGGAAGCCCTGACATGCACAAAGCACAGAGGTTTTGAAAAAATTATTAGCTAAAGTTACTCGGCTGATGGCTGATGCTCTAAAAGCTCTGTGCAATACAACTTTAATAGCACTGGCAACAGGGTACACACACATCCACGCACACACATATACACAGAGCCATTTTCTCTCCCCTTATTTGCAATGTCTGGTTTGTCTGTCTCCT